GAAAAAGCATAAAAAGGGATGAGTCTGGGGTTGTTGGAATAACTGACAACAGCACGCAGATATGGAAAGGCTTTAACTAAATCTAGTTAACGAGTGATTGTCAAAGTTTTCAGCTCAAACTTAAAAAAATTTTCCCAGTAGGGGTGCAGATGCTGTGCAGCAAATTTGAAGCCTCGTAGAAATAAAATAGAAATTAAACTCTCCCTTGGTACTGTCCACCACAGGTGGAAAAACTGCACATTAGCTTACATCGTTCCTGCTGTGTTTGTGAGAGTTGTTCAGATATTGGGGTATGCACATTGAAAACATATTTTCACAAGTGAGTTAGTCTAGACTAAGATTGTATTCTTTCGTATGATTTTTTTTTTGTGGTTAACCTAATAAATTACTCATGATTATAACTGGTAAAAGTACCACAGCTTACCCTGTTTTTTTAGTGTGCTAGCTGACTTTAAACGTGATACACTAGCAACATCTGCGCTGAGAAAGTTATGTTCTCTGCACAAGCTGTTTCAACCATTGGCATGTTCTGAAGACATTACTAATGTATAGAAAACAGAAGTGTATTTGTCTCTAAGAATATATAGGAAAGCAGTGGAAAATATTTTGAGAGTACAGCCCTTCAAGTCTGCTTTTGCAAGGCAAGCTTATAAAGTGACACCCTCACCCTTTTGGGAGCTGTGAGCCCCAAGTGGCAGCTGGAATATCGCTTCTTTCTTTGGGAACTTAGCACTTCTGTCGTCGCACTGCACAAAACTGAGGTTGGCATACCCGCACATGTCCTCTTGTATGCTCTTAAGTTTCGGAGAGTGCTGTTGAATGACTGCTGCTGTTCTTATCTGTATTGGGAAAAACATATCTGAAGTTAAAAGCTTGGAAGATGATCAATTCGTGGAGCTACTGTTAGAGTTTTAGTATGTTATTATATACATATATTATGTACTAATATATAGATAAATACATAATAGTAATAACATTATTAGTATGTTATTATATACATATGACTGATGTCATATATATGACATCAGTCCTAATAATATTTGATGAAATACAGTTAGCTTGAAACACTTAAAAAAAATAGCTACCGGTTTTATTATTGCTCTATTCCCCTCTGTACCTTATGTGATTGTTCTTAGGTGTTCTTTTAGAGTCTTTGTAACTGTTGTTTATGTGAGGAGTATACACATGCATGTCAGAACATATTTTTTTTAAAAAAATGGGGTAGAAATCACCTTGTGGTGAAATGCAGAATCTTTCTGCATACTGGTACCTTCCTGAAGTGGCTTGTGAGTTTTAGTATCTGGAATCAAGGTGTTTGTGGACTGATGCTCTGCTTCCATATGCAAATTGTTTCAAGGTGGTTTTTTTGTCCTTTTTTTTTTTTTTTTTCCTTAAGTGATGTACTGTGTTAGTTTTGTTTGGCTTTAACTATACTCAGTAATAAAATGCATCTCATTTCCTCCGGAGCACACATTTTCTTCATTTAGTACCAGTTTTGTGATTTAATTTTCCTCTTTTTTTGACTGGTATGGTTTCATCAATAAAGTGAAAAACTGTAAAAGATGTGTTCATTTTTAAAATTCAGTTAGAGTTTTCTTTGAGCTCGCATCATGTAGAGGGTCAGGCAAATAACTTATTGAAAGTGGATCTTTAATAGTGGCGGCAGCCTGAAAAGATGGAAGTAGAAAAACCAGTGCTTTACGTAGTAATTGTTAAAGGTCTCCGGATTCCAGGGTGTTTTTCAGTTAATTAACCCTGCTGCTTACCCTTTTACCCTCACAGACAACTGTTACCCATAGGATGTTTTTCCAGTTTAACTGTTCATCTGGCTGTACTAGCCCGAGTTAGCTACTGACTCAATCAGTTCACTTGATTGTGCCTCAGACGGACAGTCATGTAGGAGCTGTGTGTTTCTAGAAGCCCGTATCTAGGCAAAACTAAAATGTCACAGAAGTGGGAAGGTGTGGGGTAGAAGAGAGTACTGAACCTAAAGCAATTATGTGAGACGTGTTCTTGTTTAAACTTTACCAGAGTTCAGTGTAAAACATCTATCTCTACTTTCGTTATTTTTAAAATTTATGTATTTTTTTCCCTGAGAACACTGCTGACATTTCGTGCTAAAACCAAACCCAGACTTCTGTTTCCATATATTTTTGGAAATAAAGTTAGCTTTTGTAAAAGGAAGAGTAGTGAGACTTCCAGTGATTTGTACTGAGAAAATGAGGGATACTACTTGAGGTTGTAAATATACAGTAATTCTTGCAGTCTGTAAACCTAGGTTAAAAGCCCTGGTTTGTGTTAGACTGCAAAATGGATCTATTTAGGTCTTCTTGGTCAAGGCAATCACAGAAGACCTCGAAATGGACAGTGAAGATCATTTTGCTCTGTAATGTGCAGCAATGTACCTTTGTACAGCATTGACTCATGGGATGTTTTAGTGTTGGTGAAGACATTTGTTAGCTTATACTTTTAAAGACTGCTTTGAGCCTCGAGTTGATGTTTTTACCTATTGTGTAAATGTTTCAATAAAACAACAGGTGATTGTTCAGGTCTCTTTTTACAAGCTTTGTGACTGATACCTGCATTTCATAAGAATGTTACATTTGTTCTGGATGGCCTTGTAATCAGTTTTCTTTTCTCAGTGAAGACACACCGAACTGAGACCTTTGCTCCTGCATTTCAACAGCTAAAGGAAGTCGTCACTGCTGCTTTGAGACTATCTCTGTCTTGGAAGTCTTGGTGTTGTGTATGGCCAGTAGTGAAGCTTGAAGGCAATTGTGTATTGTCAGAGAATAAAGAAGTACAAGGAAATAGTAGGTCTGTAAAGTGAACTTTTTGCAGTGATTCTTTTGAAAGACTGATAGCTGGTTGAGGCTTAGGGTGACTAACATAAATTAATTTTCATTACTTTGTATTTGTGAGCCTTCCCTGTTTTTGAATTCTAACGAAGTTCTAATTTTGTCTAAGGTAGACTGTCAAATCAGAAATGAAACAAATTGACTGCTAAATGAGGCTTTACAACGGAATGCGTGTCAGAACTGAATATCTGCTACAGTGTAGAATATATATATACGATTAAAATAAACAGCACCTTAAATGTACTTTGTAAAGCAAATTCGTGTATCTAACTGATTTTTGGTTAGTTTCTAAGAAATTATTTCTTACTAACAAAAATTAGTCTTAAATTTTAACTTTGTGTAGGGATTGTTTTTTGTTTTGTTTTTTTTTTTGTTTTTCCCAAAGTACTTGTGTCTTACTTCTCTTCACATGATTGATAGGCAGAGACTTTGCCATTGAAATGGAATAGTTGAAAATCATGTTTTCTGTCAGTGATTCATTACTCCTTGGGGTTTTTCCTTTAACTCGTCACTTGCATTTGAACTGAAGAAGACAAAGGGGATGCAATTGCCATACTTGTAGAGCTTTTTGGAAGCAAATTCACAAGAGAAGGTGATTTCACGGTTCTAGGCACTCACCTACCAGTGCTTTGTGATCTCTGGACCTTGTGGTGGGTATGGGTTTAGTCTTGCATTCCTCAGCAGTGCAAATGTGCCTGTTCAGTATCTCGGTTATTGGATCCTCTGAATGAGGGGATGTGTTTTTTGCCTTGCAGTTGGAGCTTTTCTGTATATTTATGTACAAAAGACATGTGGGGCATTGTGATGGTTCTGGTTCTTGGGTAATTCACTGCTTTGTCTAAATTCCTGGAGGGAGGTAACTATCAGCTTTGTTGTACACAGGGACTATTTCTTTGTTGTAAGAGTAATCACTCATTATTTCTGTGTGCTGAGAATTTCTTTTTACACCTCCATTGGTTTTTAGCTCAACATAGAGGTAAAAGGCAGCAGAAGAGTCTTGTGTTGGGAGTGAAATTTATGGATTGATAGGTGCTGCTAATTCTGTCTGAGTTCTATTTAATGTAGAAAGATTTCTGTGGATCAGTGTGGTTTATCACAGCTTCCCGTGGATATATTTAAACAAAGGTTGAAGCCTGGGCTTAGTTAAATCCTCAAGTGAGGAGAGGTACCCAAACGAGTGAGTAACGTGTTCAGTACAGGTCTGTTAGAAGTGGACAGGAATGAAGTGGACAGGAATGAACTGTGCAGGTGTCACTTAAATCTGCCTTAACTTTAAAAAGCAGAAATCAGGGTGGCAAGTTAAAGTAATATAGTTACTGCATGTAGAAACTAGTGCAGATGGTGAAACCTTCTAGTGGAAGAGCTGCTTAACCTTCTGTGTTTTATCTGTGATCCAATGTTGGATTTAAGAAAAGTTCTTGTAGAAACTTTGCAGCTACTTTCAATAGTACCTGCAGAATTGAGGACTTTTTAGAGAGGTTACTGTCCAAGAAATGTGAGGAATGGATGAGGTTGCATGTTTGCATTATTCTTTGTAGTTGTTATTGGACTTGAATGCTTTACATAATAAAATTTATTTTAAATAATAAAGCTCTGGTGTTTACTGCACAGACTGGAGGTTATATAGGATCAGACTGTTCAAGGACAGATTAATTATTTTTCAAGTAAACGGGTCAGAAACTCCTAGTGGTAATTCAGAGTAATGGCTGGAATAGGTTTCTGGATCACTCAATAAGAGTGATCCTTGCAGATAGAACACAAGAGTTGTGGGAAAACATGACTGAGTGGGTTACCAAGTGAGCCAGAAACTTGAAATTACTTGTACAGGGAGACAAAATGGTGTCCCTGATTAACAAGGATGGCAGTGCATCAGGGTATGCTTGCTTTGTTTGCAGTAGTGCTGCAGTCATGCTGCAAGACTTCTGAGGGTTAGATATAGGGGTTTTGTTGCATATCCCGTTCATTTTCTTGTGATAGAATTGTGGGAGAAACTGGAGTAGGGCAGGAGAAAGCATGTGCCATCTGGTTTTCAGCTTCCTCAGAGGTAATGGGTATATGTGGAATGCTAGCATCTTGACTTTTATTTCTTGTCCTTACAGAGCAATTGAAAACCCTGACTCAATACTTCCTTGTTTCTTGCAGTGGGGAAGCATGAGTTAACTGGGCACAAAGTAGCAGTGAAGATCCTGAATCGACAGAAGATCCGCAGCCTTGATGTTGTAGGAAAAATCCGCAGAGAGATCCAGAATCTCAAACTCTTCAGGCATCCTCATATAATTAAGCTGTAAGTTTTGCTTGCATATTGTAATCTCTTTTTCTTTCTTGTTTGGTTTTTTTTTTGCTCTCACTGATCTGAAACACGTTTAAAAGGCAATGCTTACTGTTACCAAATCTGGTCAGTGAAGAACTCTAACACTCAATGTTGGTATTAGAAAGCAGGCATTTCTTTATTGCGGCCAGGTGCATGGGGGCATAATTCTACCTACCATGCATGCCATGTCTGTTACCTGTCCAAGCTTATATCCACCTGTTACATGCATAGGCATCAGTTTTCCTGGAAAGATTATACATATTCATTCTATTTCCAGGAACGAATTATCATATATACATAGTTACTAAGTGTGCTGCCTGGATCTCTGAAAGGCTTCCCTGGAGATCTTCGGTGGTCTCTGATGATCCCTTGTGGCTGATGGCGAGGGGTCTTTTCACAGACTTCCCATAGAAAGTCCTTCTTTGTGGAGTCCTTCTTCTCTAGAGTCTGCTAATCCATGTGTTCCTCCAGGGAACAGCCACACTTTATTGTCCTTGAAGACATGATTGATAGTCCTTGATTGCCAAGGGCCCATACAAAAATTACCTCCTCAAGGGTGCCAGCCACAGTTGATATCTTTCCTTGCATTTTTTTCCGAGGCCCATTTTACACATTTCTGTCTATGGGATGTAACACTACTAGCAGTATCTTGTCAGGAATGTAATCATCTTCCTTCCAAGTATACAGCTATTTCCAGTGTCCTCTGTAATGCATTTTCACAAAACTGATCTTCTCTGCAGGCTGGAGAGCTTCCATTAAGTCTCTGCTTACAAATTCTTTGGACAGGTGTATAAAATGTAATGGTATGTTATGCTACTTCTAGTAGCATTCACTTCTGCCTTTAACAGCTACTTTAGTTTTCTTTTTCTGTTATGTATGACCCCTTTTCTTCTAAGAAAATGTATTAGAACAAGATTGTAAAGGGCATTTCTGCAGTAAGTTTATTGTGTTTTCTTACTTGAAATATGTTTTTAGTGACGTACTGGTCAGTGATCTATGGTTTTCTGATGTAAATGATGCTCTGTGAGATGTTTTCTGAATAAGGATGTGCAGTCTGTTAAATGTGATAGGTATTTTTGAGTTCTTTAGTATAGCTGCCACCACGTGTCTAAATGTGGTATTTACAGTGTGCCTCTTTATTAGTTGGTCATAGTTCCTCAGTGATGTTCAGAGGACAGTTAAATACGCCCCAAAGCAGACACCTAATGTTTTGTCTGAGGAAATAAATTATAAGTGCCACTTTTTTTACTTTCATTTCCTGTAAAGTTGACCTGCACCTCCAGAGTGTGGAAGACTTCCACTGTCTTATTCATGGTGTTGATACTAGTTTTATTTCAGTGGCACTCTTGTCTGAAGACCCTGCTGCCACTGACAGATGCCATCACTATACAGTCCCTTTAATTTGGCAGTAGCTCTTACCATTAAGCTAAAGTGGATTATGTAAGATCAACTGACTGACTTTTTCAGTGGATTAGTTTTCAGAATACTGTTGAGCTGATTTAGCTGCAAAATGGCTAGTGCTGCGCGTTAGTGTTCGTGAAGGAGGCAAAACAATAGGAAGTGTCCATGTATCAACTGAGATGTGGGATTGGAACAGGAATGTGTAGTTGTGGAGTTTTTGCTAAAGTAAGTTAGCTTAACAAGTTTCAGGTGACAGTTTCTTTCTCAGGGAATTATGGGGAGAATTTTTTCTCTTCCTTGTGGAGAGAAGGGCAAGCTGTAGAAGATGATTAAGCTGAATAAATCTGTTTATCTTTTATGAACTAGACTGTCTAATCTGCAAGATTGATCTCATTTATAAAAAATATAATTCATGGCTTTAGCAGATATCTTTGAGCGTGACCATCCAGCCAGTTCTTTATCCACCGAGTGGTCCATCTGTCAAATCCGTGTCTCTCCATTTTAGAGACCAGGATGTCATGTGGGACAGTGTCAAATGCCTTGCACAAGTCCAGCAAAATGACATCCGTTGCTTTTCCCATGTCAACCAGTGCTGTGGCTTTGTTGTAGAAGGCCACTAAATTAATCAGGCACGACTTGCCCCTAGTGAAGCCATGTTGGCTGTCACCAACCACTTGATTGTTTTTACTGTGCCTTAGTACAGCTGCCAGGAGAATCTGTTCCATGATTTTACCTGACACAGAGGTAAGGCTGACTGGTCTGTAGTTAACCCGGGTTGTTTTCGGTCCCTTTTTTAAAGATGGGGGTTATGTTCGCCCTTTTCCAGTCTGTGGGAACCTCACCAGACTGCCAGGACCTCTCAGATATGATGGCTAGTATATTTTCAAGTATATTTTCATCTGACTTTTTGTACAACTGTGGTTTTAACTAAATGTAACTAACATCTTTTACTGAGTATGTAGACTAACAGATACCTTCTCTTATCAGGTACCAGGTCATCAGTACACCAACTGACATTTTCATGGTGATGGAGTATGTTTCGGGAGGAGAACTGTTTGATTATATCTGTAAAAATGGAAGGGTAAGAAGTAGTCCAGCTTTGCAGATCAACGACTTGCATTCTGTTACTGCTTTTTCAACATTACTGAGGGGACAGACAGTTCCTTTTTGAGATCTTTGGGATTTTGGCAGGGTAATGTAATTGAAGCCTCATTCTCTTAATGAGATAGTATAATTAGTGTAGCACAGAATGTATGATCAGAGTGGCACAAGATTTCTACAAGCAGAATCAAGGTACTACAGCTTACACTAGTGTAACATAGAATTTATAATACAACTTAACTTATGCTTTCTGATCACCTAGTCTCTTAGTAGATCAGGGCAAGTTTGAACACGTTGCTGTATTAATATGACAATTACAGTCTGGACTCAAAAATCACATGAAGGAGTGAGAGTCACTCAGTCCTCCGAGGAAGCAGAGGGGTCACAGGTCTCGCTGTCTGTTCAGCAGTGGTTTTGGTCCAAGTTCCCCACTTAGTGTTTGTAGCTGTGATTTTACGAACAGTGCTTGTGGTGCTGTTAAACTGCTCTGTTTGAGGGAGTCATCACTGCCACTGGGCTGGATGAGTGCCTGGAACCTTCAAGGCCAGTAAGGAAGGGAGTAAACAGCCTGGTGCCCAGGAATCTTGAGGCCAGTAGGGAGGGGAAGAAGAAATCTGTTTTGATTTGTCTACTTGGTCCACAGACATTCACGGCCTGATAATGAGGCATAAGTATGTGGCTCGTTTGGTTGCAGAAAATGGCTTCTTGCCTCAGAAAATGGTGTTACTCATGCTAACCCCATTACCAGGGGCCAGGAGCAGTTAAATGCCCTGTTAAATGAAGATTTGTTTTTGTGATTGAGCACTGATTTTGCTCTTAATGTTTAGAATATACTTTATGACTACATCTGAAAGTAGAAGTAATTATATGTTAATGTATTTCAGATCTTATATATGACTTTGTCATAGCATTTTACTTCTCTGGAATACATTAGTTTACAGTTACTAGGTACAAAGTGTATGGATATGTATCCAGCTGGAGTAGCTGAAAAATTTTTTTTCTGTGTAACCCATTATTGGAGAGCTAGTGTTGTGCCCTTATTACCATCTTTGAGTAGTAGAACAATTTCTGTGAAAGCTCTGATGTTGTGTGACAAACCCTCTAGACGGGACACTTTCAGCTAGTTCTGGGAGCAAACCTTGATATGGGTTAGGGCATGTTTGTAGGAAATGCCTAGCTAAGTCTGCTTTTTGGGCCTAGCTGCTAAGGGTGTAGATAATGTTTGAGTACCAATATTTCTAGTTACTGAGTATGTAACATCTACCTAACCAATTTCAAAAGTGTGACTGAGAAATTTTAGTGACTTTCTGAGTGAGTGGATGTATTTTATTTGTCATTTTAGAGCTGTGATACAAATATGATATAAACTGTGAAGCTTTCAGCTACAAGTTCTGGAACATCAGGTCATGAGGAAATTCACCTTTTGTAAAAGTAAAACCAAGTTATCTTCCACTCTCTCATTTTTTAAAACCTTTGTCTGTCTTAGCTTGATGAGAAGGAAAGTAGACGTCTGTTCCAGCAAATCCTTTCTGGTGTGGATTACTGTCACAGGCACATGGTAGTACACAGAGATCTGAAACCTGAAAATGTGCTGCTAGATGCACATATGAATGCCAAGATAGCTGACTTCGGTAAGCGTTGCTGTTTTATATCTGATTGCATTTAGGGTGTTATTTAGATCCTGTTAATTACTATGTGAAATATTTAATAAAGTGTATATACTTGAATATACTGATGGTGGGACACAATAAAAGAACAATATGAATGTAAACCAAAATTATATTCTTGCACATGTGTAGAATTTGTTTTCCTCTCAAGCTTTCTGCTGGCGGTGTGAAAGTATAAACTGATTTTTGGTTTTGCTTAACAATATTTTTTCCTGAAGTGCAAAATTGACTTAATTCCTGACCTTTCCACTTCAGAATTTGCTCCTGTTGCCTGTTTCACAATCTGTAAAATATAAATGCTTGGCTCTCTTCAAAGTATGGTGCAAGGACGTTTCATCTGTGAAATGTAGATGTTTGGCTCTCCTGGAAGTAGGGTGCAAGGGTAGCTCGTCATGTTAAAGTACCACATTACTATAGTAAAATACACTACTCCTGTTACACTACTCTAAATTCACTTTAAAAACTTCAAAGATGGGGTTAACAAAGTGTAATTAAGGCATAGAAGGTAAAATAAGAACAGCTAACTCCTGTGGTATTTTTGGCTCTATACCTGCCTAACTAATCAGAAAGATTAACTATTTATACTAGTTGTTTGTGACACAGCTGCTGAGGAGACTGGTAGCTAGTTCTTGGAACTATCTGAAGCAGGAAACCCCAGCATATAAGCATAATAAGGTGCTCATTGCTGTATCATCATATCGCTTGCATACATAGTGGATAATACCTGTCCTTGTAAAGTGCTTGCTGGTCTCTGAAATGTGCTTGGTAATGCTGAGTATTCTATTTTAAAATTATGATGTTAAAGTATGTGGACACTGGAATCATACTGATTTCTTGTGTGTAGAAAATGCTTTGGGTTTACCTGGTGAAGAAAAGAGATATAGTAGCTTATAAAGCTATCTCAAGTATCTGCAAAGCTGTAGCACTCAGTTAATTGTGACTAGTATATTAAACAAGAGCTTAGTAAAACCTTTTATGTATTAGGATATGAAAGCTAGCCAAGCTCTACTCTTTCATCCCCCCTCCCCGCAGTTAAAGGGCATGATTCCTCCTTTGAGACTGAGTTCTCTGGCTTATGATCTTCTTGATTGTGCAGCCTCCACTGATGAAACTAGAAGCTCTGAAACTAGCTATTCTAGAAGTGGTAGTTCTTTACTCAGACTATGTTGAGGGCCAGTGAAGGAGGAGGGATGGCCTAGCTCTAAAGTATGCTGTAGTTACTAATAGGATATCTAAAATGGATGTATTGAACTGCAGTGATTCAGGAACCGGCTGAGCGGTATAGGTGTTTAAATTGTGGTAAAGTCACGTACTCCTCGGTTCCCCTTTTCTATATAACCTTACAGAATTTTAGGTAATTCCATGGTCGCGTCTTCTGCTTTGACATTTAGAAGCAAATGTGGTTTTTTATTATGTTCTTGTTAATGACCAAAATCCTATCTTGCTGTGCTGCTGCATTTCCCTTAAGAGTAACTTTTTCGTCATGTCTTGCCTGTGTCATCCAAATTGAACTGTGTTTTGTCTTGGAATTAATATGTTCTCAAATATTTCTAGGTTGTGTGCAGTAATGAATTGATGTTACTCAGATTTCTGGTAAACTAAATGGAGAATTATGTGGCATGCCCATAGAAAAATTGCAGTAATTCCAAACAGTGTTAATTCTTTACTGAAATACATTTGTCAGTTTTCTTATATGAATTACTAGTGTTTTATTTTAGGTGGTATGCAGTATGAAATCATTTTACTCTCTGAATTTTTAGTAGTTACTCTTATACACTTTCAGGTCTATCAAATATGATGTCAGATGGAGAATTTTTAAGAACAAGCTGTGGTTCCCCTAACTATGCTGCACCAGAAGTAATTTCAGGAAGGTAGTTTCTTTTCTATTGGATACATGTGTGCATGTACTTCACTCGCTTTGCTGCTTGATTCTAGAGGCTGCAAAACTCGTTCAGTTGACAAGCTTGCTGCTGAGAAACTGTGGCCTGAACTTTTTGTCTCGATAATTTTTCATGAGTATTTAATATTTCTGTGAACCAGCATTGAATAGTTCCTATAAGGTAGAGTTGCTGTCTGATGGCTGATGCCCCAACCCCAATGTGTTTAGTGTGCCTGAATTGATTTTTAAATCTCACTCACAGCTTAGGTCTTGGAAGTAAAGATACAGGTAGAATTACAGGCGAGTCTGCTGTGAAGCCGAAGTATATTTTGCAGAGTAGATACTCATGCTAAAGGTTGTTGGACTAAATGACTGTCAATTGTGCTTCTTAGAGCTACATACCCCGATATTGCCTCTTGCTGATCTGAGGCCAAATCTGTGTTTCATTCGGGCAGTAGCACAGACATGTTCTGCTGTATGGGCTTGTCTTAAGCTTTTCAGTCCCCCAGATTTGGGGGACAGATGCCTCTGCACAGATTCTCCTAAAACGGTTATAGCGATGTCTAGCGTGGCCTAGCATGCAAGTTTCTTTCAGTTTTCCATTGCCTTAAGTTGTTGTTTTTGTTATATGGTATAGAGGAAAACTATGTACTTCTGCCCTGTTATGTATTTGAAGGAGAAGGACAGTAAATTTGAAGGGAAGCATGGCATAGAACTAGAATAGTGTAGTATTTGCGGATCAGTTTTCTGAGTTCATATACTTCAAATTACTGTGATACAGTGTAGGGAGTTAAAAGAAAATATGTTTAAGCATATTAAACACAAATAACTAATAGTTAACTTTTTTTTTTTCCCAGGTTATATGCAGGCCCGGAAGTAGATATTTGGAGCAGTGGGGTTATTCTCTACGCTTTATTATGTGGAACACTTCCATTTGATGATGATCATGTGCCAACCCTTTTTAAGAAGATATGTGATGGTATCTTTTATACCCCTCAATACCTGAATCCGTCTGTAATTAGTCTTTTGAAGCACATGCTGCAGGTGGATCCAATGAAGAGAGCAACAATCAGAGACATTAGGTAAAACATTACCTGATACCTGATCACAGGATGCTGGAATGGTAGTCTTGGTGTAAATATGCGGAACAAAGAAATTATTCATAGAACTTGTCTCTGTTGTATAGACAAATATAAATGAAAAATTCAACTTCTAGTGGTTTGGCTTTAGCTCTGATGGTTCAGATCTCTGGAGAATGAAGTATCTGTTGGCGGTCACAGTAAAATAAGTTAGATGTATTGCATACAGAAATTCTGAGAAACTCTACAGTTAAGGCTGCTATAGCAAAGCTGTTTACCTGCAGAATAGTTTGCAAAACTACAGTGTATTGACTTCTCTGGAGAGGGGTGGGGGTGGGGGATGACGGACGATGGGACATTTCTTTGCTCCTAAGAGCGACTATTCTGTACTGTAAATGTCTTGAGAAGACATTATCGCTCTTTGGTAACTACTGTTTATTGGTATTTCTTGAGACTGAAAAATCCTCCGTTTGGACTGTGAATATTCCCCATGCAAGATAGCACTTTCTGGCTTCAGAACCCTAGCGTGGATTTGTGTGGATTTGCATCAAATACTGATAAGTTAAAGCTTGTCGGTACAGATAGCGATGGGCTACAGATTTCAAAAGCTGATTCTGGAGAAGGTAACTGCTTCGACAAGTGTACAGTGGGTTGGTTAAAAAACCCCAAACCTGTTAGCCGACAGAGCTGTATTTCATGCAGCAGCTTAGTTAGGTTTTCCTGTTTTCTTTGTAAGAAGCTCTTAAGGAGAGAGAGCTCGAATATACTACCTTAGGGACAATGTAAAAGTAAAACTAGAGTGGTTAGGAATAAGTCAGAAAAGATGAGATGTGAAAAAGATGTTGAGATATGTTGGTTACAGAGCATGGATGGATTTTGAATCCTAAACAGTTCTATGCTATTAACCATGAGACATGTCACTTCACAGTTTAAAGGACAAACTGAGTTTAATTGAATATCTTTATCCTTGGGAGTGATGCCCGTGCCTGCAGGGGGGAGGCCTACTGCAGTGGATAGTAACAAAATACTCGTCTTTGTTCAGTCATCCAACTAGGGCTATGCTTTGTAGTAGTACAGGAAAACATTTTTCTGCTTCCAGATTAACTGTTTGCTTCTGATGAAAGTGTATGTTGCTCAATGCAATATGCTGAGGCATATTCTCAGAATCACAGCATTCCATCGTACTGGTTTTGGCTGGAACAGAGTTGATCTTATTCATGGTAGCTTGTGTAGGGCTGTGGTTTTGATTTATACTGAAAATTGTGTGGTGAATACATGAACGTTTGTGTAAGCACTGCTCAGCAGTAACTTAGAGTCAGGTCTTTTCTGCTCCTCACGCCACTGCACCAAGCGAGTGGGCTAGGAGTGCACAGGAAGCTGGGAGGGCACACAGCTGGGACAGTGTGACCCAAGAGATATTCCATACCATAGGATGTCATGCTCAGCAACAAAACTAGTGGGGAGGTTGGTAGGGGGAACACTGTTCAGGGACTAGCTAGGTGTCAGTCAGTTGGTGGTGAACAATTGTGGTGAGCAGTTGTTTTCATTTGCGTTACTTCTCTGCTGGGTTTTATTTTCCAATCTCTGTGATTTTTTTCTCTTACTTTTTAAAAAATTCTTCCTACTTATTAAACTGTTTTTATCTCAACCCACAAGTTTCTCATTTTCACTCTTGATATCTGCCTCTTATCCCGCTGGCATGGAGTACATGAGTGGCTGTGTGGTACTTAGTTGCCAGCTGGGTTTAAAACACAATAGTCCTTTCTGGTGCCCAGCATGGGCCTTGAGGGTTTCAGATAATAACAGATTTGGCCAGAGCGTATTAGATGGAATTCTAGGTTTTATATTTATATTTATTAATAGTTGCGAGTCACAATATTGATTTATCTGTTCTTGACACTAGTTTACCTGATCTGTGCCATGTTTCCTTTTTTTATGGTACGTGTTAAAGACTTGTTTTGACTTTAACAGTTTGTTGTGCTTTTTAGTACTCAGTGATGTTTTGCCTGGGAGATGTGTTATTGAAACATAGACCTTGAGCTTAGTCTGGTGTTTGGGCTCTCTACTGAAGCTTTTACTGTACTTTGGGTACCATCTCATGGTGACAATTAATAATTACACTTCTTTGTCCGAGAGGGCTATTTTTGTGTGTGTGTGAAGGAAATGCAAAATGGCACCTTCGAGACCTTCTATGATGTCTTTTCCCTTGTTATAGTAACTCTTTTCAGTATTTTGGATGTTCTTAGTTAATCAAAATGCTTCTATTGGTATTTCTGAAGGAAATTCTTTCTTTCTCGCCTTTACCTTTATGATTCTCCTTGCCATCCTGCTGGAGGGGAGTGAGTGGGCAGCTGTGTGGTGCTTAGTTGCTGGCCAGGGTGAAACCATTACATCAGTATACCTACTTTTAAATCTGTCACAAGTCTTTATTCTATAGGCTAGAACATTTTCAAAAGCAATGTCATGCTATACTCTTGCTGCATGATTGGGCAATGTAAGTATTTGTTTCCATTTGAATCTTTCCTTTTCACTTTCCTGATTTGAGCTGGCTGCCTCTGCCAGCGCAAAGAAACATGGAGCTGGTTCCTCACTCCTCACCCCACCCCTGTTTCTTTGAGGATGAGGCGGGATCAAAAATAAACTAAAAGGGCTCAAGAAATGAGGACAGGGAGGGTTCATTCACCACTTTTGGTCATGAGGAAAAACCAAACTAGACTTGGGGAAAAACCATAAATTTAACTTGCCACCACTAATTTACTAGATTAGAATAGAATAGTGAGAGAAAGTAAATACAACCTGCTTTTAAATACACTTTTCCCCTCATGCCTCCCTTCTTCCTGACTACCTCTGCCTCCCCTTGGCACAAGGCGATGGAGTGCTTGGTCTGTTTGTCATTGTGCATGGCAATCCTTCCTTCACAGGAATGAGGGCTCCTTGCAGTCTTCCCCTGCTGCCGTGTGGCATCCATCTCTTGAGAGGCAGTCCTTTCCGTCCATGTGAGCCCTTCCCATCAGTGTGGGGATGACCTTGGGGTCGTGGCTTGCTTCAGTGTGGTCTATTTTCCCCCCCACCATGGGGTTCTCCATGTACTGCCTCATCCTGGATGTCCTTGCCACCAGCACTGTTGATCACCTCAGTTGTCAGGCAGTCACCTCCCTGCCATCTCACTACAGGGCTCTACTCTTCTCCACCCTCTTCCTCATTGACTGAGATTGGGGTTTTTTTTGCTTTCCTCTCACCTCCCTCCTCCTCCCAACAGAAAAACTCCCCAACACAAAAGACAGGACACAGGAACAGGAAGAGAGACTGGGCCAATGGGTTTCCCCCTCTTAAATAAATTTATTGCAGAGGTGCTGACTGGCCTGGCCTTGGCCAGAGGTGGGTCTGACATTTACGTGGGGCTGGAGGAGTCTCTGGAAGTTTTCCCGAGGAACCCTCATGTACAGCCCTCGCCTCGCTGACAAAAATCCTTGCCAGACACAAACCCATGACACCCTCTTATGAATATCAGTCCATGGGTGTGCACTAGTAAAGAGGTACAGAGTGACCCTTCTGTAGCTGCCCTCAACCCTATCACATATTGAAGAGACAGCTGGGGGCATTCTGAATGCAAAAATGATGGGGCAGCCTCTTTGGGGTCAGGAACATGTGACTTCAGTGTCCAAAAAAACCATGTCCAGACATCTACTAAAAAATTATTCATTGTAAACATTTCTTAATTTTGATATGTGTTGTTATATGTGTTCTTATAGAGGCACAACTCAAGTGAGTGGTATAATAATTTCAGTTGAAAATATGTCAAAACCGACATAGTGGCAGTAAAAAATAGGCCATTTATATAAAAACCTGCTTGATGAGTTATGCAGAGATATTTTTGGAGCGCAGATAGCTGAAAAACTTGAAAAAGAATTTTTTCCAGTCTTCTGCAAGATGTCTAGCAAAAGTCTTGTGACTTGGTGATAACTTTATATACTGTTTTATTGTCTGTGCTGCATGGAAGGGTACTAGGATTGACAACGGTGATTCTTTCCATACAGATGAGAAATGATTTTATATTTTAAAGACTAATGTTAAGATATTAATATGAAAAAGGTATGCTTAACATAAATATACTCAGAGGTTTTTTATTCTTAAATCCAGAGAACATGAATGGTTTAAGCAGGACCTTCCAAAATACTTATTTCCTGAAGACCCATCGTATAGCTCTACCATGATTGATGATGAAGCCTTAAAAGAAGTGTGTGAGAAATTTGAATGCACTGAAGAAGAAGTGCTAAGTTGTCTATACAGCCGAAATCATCAGGACCCTTTAGCAGTTGCTTATCACCTCATTATAGATAACAGAAGAATAATGAATGAGGCCAAAGACTTCTACTTGGCTACAAGTCCACCAGATTCTTTTCTTGATGATCACCATCTGTCTCGCCCTCACCCTGAAAGAGTGCCATTCTTAGTAGCTGAAGCACCTCGCCCTCGCCATACTCTTGATGAGCTGAATCCACAGAAGTCAAAACACCAAGGTGTGAGAAGAGCGAAGTGGCACTTGGGAATACGGAGTCAGAGTCGACCAAATGATATCATGGCTGAAGTTTGTCGAGCAATTAAACAACTGGATTATGAATGGAAGGTAAAAGAATAAAGGATCTTTACAGCAGACGACAGTAGACTTTTTCTTGAGCTGCATAGTTACATAGCCTAGAAGTCTGAAACTGTGTTCTTCTGTTCTCCTAATCTTATGTGCCTGTGGTGACTGCTTGTGCTTGCTGTGCAGGAAAGGTCTTGAGGGAGGCTATACATGCTGACAGGAAAAAAAGTCTTGCTAATAACATGTTGGGGGCTGTATGAATGTTTTTCTGTTGACTAAAAAAAAAATTCATAGAAAACCCCCTGCTTTTCAACACCTATAGTAACTATCTCAAATTTCTCTTTGAACTAGGTTGTAAATCCGTATTATCTACGTGTTCGAAGGAAGAATCCAGTAACAAGTGCATATTCCAAAATGAGTCTACAGCTGTATCAGGTGGACAGCAGGACATACTTACTGGACTTCCGTAGCATTGATGGTATATGAAGAATTATATAAGTTAATGAAGTTGTATGGGAAATTATTCTAAATGCTAACATGTCATAATTTTGTTTAGAAGTGAAGTAATTGTTGCCCTTTATTAGTTTAAGCCAATCTAAATCTGTATTAGTGTTTCCTTGTTCCTTTCTGCTTTAGTGTTCCTGTGATCAGATCATTAGTTGCTTCATCAGTTAAATAATAGGCTTTTGGCTATATCAGCTCCTGAACTGCTCCATTTTGGGTCTGCATCAGCACTAATACCAGTGAGTGCAAAAGAAGACAGGGCTGTGAGGAGTGAGGTTTGTCTCAACCTAAACTGCCTTTGGACCCTCACCCCCAAATTTAATTTAGATTTGAAATAAGTGTGTGAGTAACATACCCAAGTGAAGAAAAAGCTTGACATCTAGGTGTTTAAAGTTGACTTGAACTTTAATTCCTTTACTGGATCTGGATGAGATGGGAGTTCATTTTCTTCATAGCAGGCTATAAGGTGCTGTGTTTTGGTTCTGTGACTGAAAGAGTGTCGATAGAATCACTGAATGTTTGGGCTTGCAAGGGACCTCTAGAGATCATCTAGTCCACCCCCCTGCCAGAGCAGGATCCCCTAGGGCAGCCACACAGGAACGTGTCAAGGTGGGTTTTGAAAGTCTCCAGAGAAGGAGACTCTACAACCTCCCTGGGCAGCCTGTGCCAGGGCTCTGTCACCCTCACAGTGAAAAAGTTCCTCCTCATGTTGAGGTGAAACTTCCTATGTTCTAATTTAAACCCATTATTTCTTGTTCTATTGCTAGGTACTGCTGGGAAGAGATTGTCTCCTTCCTCTTGACACTCACCCCTCAGATACTTATATATGTTAATAAGGTCCTCTCTCAGCCATCTCCTTTTGAGACTAAACAGCCTCAGTTCTCTCGGATAGCACACCAGCGTTCTGGCTGTTGCTGAGCAGTATTTACGTAGTACCTAGTCTGTCTTCTTCCTCATTCTGTCACACCCCATGAGTAGACCAGGGATGAGCAAGAAGTTGGGAGGAGATGCAGGCTGGAGTGCGGAACCAGGCTGACCAAAGGGATATTCCATGCCATGTAATGTTATTCTTTGCTAAGAATCTGAGGGGATGGGGTTTTGGGGAAGATAGCCCTGAGACTGGCTGGGCATCAGTCTGCCTTAGAGAGGTGGTGACTGGTTGTCTTTACATGACTTTTTTTCTTATTTTCCCCTCCTCTTTTTCTTTCTTCTTCCTAGTAAACTGTGTTTATATCTACCTTTGAGTTTTCTCACTTTTGCCCTTCCATTTTCCTTCCCCATTGTGTGCTGAGGAGTTAGCTCCCAGGCGGAGCCAACCTGCCAATGCTAGTAGTAGACAGAATTTGAGATAGAAGCTGTATGCTTGCAGTAAGTGAAGTCTGGAAAGCAATTGGTGTAAACCATAGAAAGAACTGTTTTAAAGAGTGACAGTAACACAGCATAGAAATCCTGGTTGGATACCTTCCTGAACATGAATGGAGCAGCTACTAAACACTAGCCCAAGTGCTTGTTTATCAGCATGGTAGACTAAACCAGAATTACCTACAGCTAGTGGTGTAGATGACATGGCCTAGGAAAACATGTGGCATGGAAGAAGAATTCATTGGAGTGTGGCTGGTTTACAGTGCAGGGTGGCTGAGGCTGTGTCTTACACAGTTTGATATGATCTGATCTGGCAGTGCAATTCTTGCCTCAGTCCTTTGGACAATACGGGTGCTTGCTGAGATCCAGTGGTACTTCAGACAGGGGACTGTATGCATACAGGATTCCTGCAGTGACCTGCTGCTGTCTAGGACAAATGCCAGGCCTGCTGGAGGAGAGATGACTGTCTAGCGCCCTGCAGCTGGAGGTGGGGGGCAGCCTGCTGCAATCTCCGCTTCAGTTCTTGATGCACTACAACTCAAGGGCATGGATTTGCCATCTCTCTTCCAACAGTGAAGCTGATTTGACTTTCCTTTCTCTCTACCACAGTTAACTGTTCTCTTGCAAAACTGTAGTTTAAAATAGCTTTGGTATGAAAAGGCAGTCTCTCCTGTGTCCATTTTACCCTGCAAATAACTTTTCTGGTGACAGGTGAAAGTCCAACTAATGTTCTGTATTTAAAGTATGAATAGAGATACTTCAGTAGAATATTACTTCCAAGATGGAAGTATTTCATGGTCATACTGAAGGTAAACTTAAGCTGCTGCAGCCCAAAAATACAATGTACTGCAGGGATGAACTTCCAAAAGTGAAAGATAAGTTAAAGTACATGATAGCAATTAATGTATCAATGAATTGTAATAAAAATAAAGTATAAATAACCAGGTACAAAGAAAAGAAAAATAGAACAAAAATAAAGTAGGTGCTAGCAAAAAGTGTTTGAACTGTTACTGGATTTAATCTTATGATGCTGTCTGGATTTTAAGTAACCTAAATTGAACTATTAACAGCTGAAATTAGTTAATGAAAAATATGGTGAGTGCTAGTCTAAAAACTGAAGTAAATGGTTCTGGAGCATAGTTCACACAACAGGAAAAATTCATGTAAGGACATTTGTTTCTATGTTACCATATGTTGAAGCTTTTATTTTGTATTAAACACATACAGTTTGCAAAAGCTGCTTATATATTAATCAAGATCTTAAAAAAGAGAAAGATTTAAATGTTTGGAAGGGGGAAGATATTTGCTGTTGCTATAACTGATTTGATACTGATACCTCATTTTCCTCCTCTTTCACCTTGTCCCACAGATGAAATTATTGAAGCGAAGTCTGGAACTGCGACTCCACAGAGATCAGGTTCTGTGAGCAACTACAGATCCTGTCAGAAAGATGCAGATGCTGATGCGCAAGGAAAATCAGCAGAAACATCTCTGACCTCATCAGTGAACTCTTCACTTGACTCTTCTACAGCTGACTTAACTCCAAGACCAGGGAGTCACACAATAGAATTCTTTGAGATGTGTGCAAATCTCATTAAAATACTTGCACAGTAATTTTGAAGATGGGCTTATTTCTTCTATAGCAATAAGCATGCCTAAATCATAGTCAGATGCTTCCAATTATAATCAAGTTAAATTAAGTAAGGCGCTAAAAGCTAGCGACAGAATGCACTTTGCACGGGGATTGAAATGAATACGGGCAGTTAACGTATGTTATTTTGAAGCTGGAGTGAATTCTGATTCTTTGCTGTCAGATAGCGTAATGCAGATCCAGGAAATCACATGCCCTAGGGGCAGTGTTCATACATTTTACATTAAGTGCACATTAGACTGCATATAACATTGAAGTTAGATGGACCTTCTTGAGTTTTTTTTCACTGGTAATACATACATCTGTTGCACTGTAAGTAAATGTACACTTACTGTTTCAGTGACCTAAGTATGTCTTGTTGGTCACCATCTACAGTTGTGCCTCAGTTGGTCAGAATTATCGACATCATCTAACAGTAATGTCTTAAAACTGCTGTGTTTCTTCCCCCTTATTTGAGAGTAAATGCTAAAGAATAGCTTAATGCAATGTATTAGTTTTAACTGATTACTTTGATTAGATGCATGCAAATCCAACCAGTTGGAAGTGCATTTTTGTGCTCTGCAGTGCACACGAAGGTGAAATTCTGTGGCCTGTGAGCAGAACAATTGACTCCACAACAATGGTGAGAGACTTAATGCTGAGAAGGCTTGGCACTCTGTGGACTAAACCAAAATGACTGCTCTGTGAAGGAGAACTGGTGGCAAGCTCCTGAACTGTGGTAGGAGCACAGCAGCCTCCCCACTGCTACTGCAGGCTGAGAATTCTTTTCCTTAGAAACATGTTCATGTAGTTATGAGCACAGCTGGAGGACTGTTGCATGCTATTCCAGAATCTGAAATTGACATTAAAAAAAAAAGTTAATACTTTGATACAGCTGTTTATCACATGTTAACTTAGCATGTACTACATAGAATTCACTTTGTAGTTGAACCTACCTATATAGTTTAGGTTTTCCAGGCCACCTTTATAGTAAACGTGGCTGTTCAATCATGAAATTAAATAGTCCAGCTTTTCAGTTGAACATTGAAAACCAATCATGACAAACATTCAGAAAGTTTTCAACAGTAGATTGAAATTACAAATACTGCAAATCCTTTTGCATTTATAGTTTTTGCAATGTTTCAGGAAGAAAATTGAACGTCATACATTAAAATCAGGCCTTGTACTTGCACAGAAACATTTAGCCTCTCGTAAATTTGGTATGATTAGCCAAAGTTCCATTTTCATTTAACACTAATAGGCATAAACATTAAATTATGTCATAAAATGCTTAGTTTTGCATTGAAGAAATAACGTTCTCTTCAAAATAAACTTCATGACCTACTCAGTTTCAAAGACTGCTCTACCAGGGAGAGACTAGAAATAAAGGCATCACTGTGAACAGTGAAACCTGGACTCTTTAAATGAATGGGGATTCTTGCCAATAACAGGTTTCATCCACTGAAAACTGTTAGCTACAGATAGAAGAAAAGTTTAATTCAGGCCAACTGGCTTTAGTCCAGAAATTCGTCTGTTACGAACATGCCCAGAATCTGAAGAAACATAAAGCTGCTTTAAGCCCTGAAACTGCTGTTAACTGCATTCTGAACTGGACAGTTGTGTGATCTGTCTAGTACCTAGGTACAAGTTACAGCTTCAGTTCTTTATCCTTGTGTGTCACACGTGGTCCCTGTAATGCAAGGTTGTATTACTGTATTTCAAAGTGGAAGATTTTCCTTAGGTAAAGCTTTGGGTTCACACTCCTGAGATTGAGAAGTCGATGTGAGGGACCAGCTGCAAATCCTATTTTTAAGTCCTGTTTTTAGTCTTGTAAGAATTGGTTCTGATATACTGAATAAATCAGTGTGTTCATTTTTGTTACCCTTTTATTTTGAAATTCTTAAATATTGCACTTGTACAAAAACAACAAACGCACAGGTTTTTTAATTTTAGTTATTCCTCATCTGGAATTGGTTTGGGATCACTTGCCTATGTTAAACTAAATACTTAAAAAATGGTGTCTGCTCCTTGTAATGCTGACTACACATGCAAAGTGTCAGGGTGCAGGTAGCTTTTAATTTTTAAATACTTTTTTGGCCCTCTTGTGTGCATTAAGACAACCATGTTTTTTCCTTTGTCTTGGTACCTAGAGGTTAAAGTGAATTTTTGGCAGAAGTGTACTGTATGTGTAGTTTTAAATAAAGTAGATTTTATGAGTATGATAAATCACTTTTGGTGGCCAAAAGTTTTCAGATTGAACTGAGCTTTTTATAGGGGATAGCAGGGGAGGAAGGGGTACTCACAACCTTGCTGAATGCAGATCAGTTGGCTCTTGTGTGACTTTCCTACGCTTTATAGATCTTGATGTTGAAAATGCTTTCTTCACATGTTCCTACTGATCTTGCAGACTTTTTTTAGCTTTGCACTAGTATCTGCCAATAGGCTGTGAAATAAAACGTCACTAAGCTGCCAGGGTTCTAGGGGGCAGCTTTGCAAATACACTAATGGGTCACGTATATTACTCTCTATTCCTAAACTTACTGCTGTTGGAGTACGTTGAATCTCCCTGCCTTTATATTGTAATTTTTTTTCAAAAACATGGACGAGTCTGTCCATGTGCAATAGAACTCACTAGGTAATGGATAAAAATTCATCTTTGTGGTGCGGTATTAAAAAACCCAACAACCAACCAACCACTTTCATGTTTGTCTCGGTATGAGTGTTCAGTACAAACTTGGAAGTAAATTTTATTTTACCGGTTGATTACCATTGTAAGATACGAAGTCCTGTTTAACAAAGATGTGCCTACTTCCTATGTTAATTTCTTTTGACAAAGCTGAATGGCAAAAATGCTTGTTTTTAACTGTATAACTTTTTAAACTTTCAAAACAAAGCTAAGTAAACATGAAATACTGAACCAGCCTGCCGTCTTGTAGTGTTTTGTTAGAAACAGACTCTTCTAAAACCAGCAGCAGTTGCGATTTCAGAGCAAGCACCGACGTGTCCCGGTATCACAGCGCCTGGGCGGGCCGGGCCACCGGCTGCGCTCGAGCGGCCGCTGGCTGACCCTTTGCCCTGCTGCCCCAAGGAGTGTGCCATGGCAGGGGCACGGAAGGCTCGGTGTCAAGCTGCCCGCCCCGGGGCCGGCGGTAGGACGCGGATG